GCTCAAGTGACCGAGATGTAACCGAGAGAATACGGTCATTTTTCAAAATAAAAGATCGTTCAGACTCAGATAATAAATAAAACGGAAATAATTAATGATTTCTTGTGTGGCCCGGTACCAATTGATCCACGGACCGGTACCGGTCCGCGGCCCGGGGGTTGGGGACCACTGCTCTGAAGGATGTGGTTTATGAGGGTGCTTTCTCTCCAAAGAACACGTGTTTTTAGGGTCATCACTGGGAAGTTGTACACAAAATGCAGACCAGCACTCAGATTTATAGGTCATATTGTTAGGTTTTAGAGGTATAATGGACAACTGGCACACATTGGTGTCGGTGTATCCAGTGAAGTCTATATTTCCTTACTTTACACGTTACATTGACTTTGTCAGTGGTCCAGTTCAAGTAATGTATTTATGTTGCTTTTAATTTTTAAATGTAGTGTATTCTTGCTCATAATGCATTATGGGATACTGACAGCAAAGGATTCACAGGATGTCTTACAAACTGAGATGAAAGAATGCTGCGTTTCTCAGTCGCATTCAGAAAAGTGTTTAAATATTAGAAAAATTACCTGTGCGTTGTACTATGACTACAGCCAGTCTCTTGCACCAGCTAAACCTTAAAAGGTGTGCATTTCTCTCCAAGTTTAAGTTCTTGGATCTTAAAACTGAATGTTCAGGGCTACCAAATGATGGACATCAAATATTTGAAATTTGTTGAGACCAGTGCCGCAGCACTGGTACATAAATGTTACCTAAGTTACATTATTTAGATCTGAAATAACTGTTGCAATAATGCCTGCGTGGGTTCTCTCCGGGTGCTCCGGCTTACTCATCACAGTCCAAAGACATGCAGCTTAGGTTGACTGGTGACTCTAAACTGCCCCTAGGAGGGAGGGAGTGTGTTTGTCTATATGTGATAATAATAATAATAATAAACAGCATTTATATAGCACTTTACAACTCAGAAGGGCCCAAAGTGCTGCACAGTATAGACATATCTATCGACTAAAACAATACTAAACAGTCAACAAGATAATTACAGGACATAAAACAACATGTAGACAATGCCATTTAGAGGCAGATAAAATAGATTAAAGATCAAAAGCCTGTTTTAAAAAGGTGCGTTTTTAATGTGGATTTAAAAACCGCTAGCTCGGTGATAGACCGAATCTCAAGCGGTAGCAAGTTCCAGAGCCTGGGGCCATAAACAGCAAACGCGCGGTCACCCCATTTTTTGGATTGGGACCGTGGAACCACTAGGGACAGGTTATTAGAAGAGCGCAGGGCTCTGCGAGGAACATAGATAAAAGTTTGAACAGGTAAAGTGGAGCAAGGCCATGTGATAGACTGGCGACCTGTCCAGGTGGACCCCGCCTCTCACCCAGTGCCAGCTGGGTTTGGCTGCAGCCCTCCATGACCCTGGTCAGGAATGAGCGGTATAGATAATGGATGGATGGCTAATTGTTGCAATAACTGAAACAGATTGTTAATACAATATTGATATTTAATTACCTTTTAGGTTGATTTTGCAGACTTTTTAGCAAAGAGTTGCTTTTTTACACAATCGGGAGTTCGAGAGCAACATTATCACTCATTTGGAGTCGTGTTTTTGGACCATCAGTAAATGTAAGGCCACTGTTCACCTTTTTTAAGCTCTCTTTCTCAGCTCCATCATCGTCTGAGGAGAAACACCTGTCTTTTTTGCTGCTAAATGCTCTGTTATAAAAACACCACAACAAGAGTGGTGAGAGTGAACTAAAACAGCAAGGTTGTGGGCTGCACAGCTAAACATTTATATGAGACTCACTATTAAGTTCTATAAAGTTGAGCGGAGCTGCAGACTCAGGTGATAATTCTTTTTAGGCTTATCACTATAGGTGACACCTTTCAACTTGCCATTTGATAAATTGTTGTAAAACTATAAATAGCCACTGTAAACGAGTGATCTGATTATAGAAATAGTTACATTTGGCCAAGCATTCAGTGCCCTTTTCTGCACTTGGTGCAGTGGAACAATTTAGTCAATGATCATTGGAACAGTCTTCACTTCTTGACACAAAAATGTCAGGTCTGCTTTAGGAACCACTATGAAATAAAGCATGAGAGCAATATTCTGATGGTTAATAGGTGAAACATAACTCATTTCTATTGGCTAGTCTTTGCTCCTCTAACTCCTCTTCTGGTGATATGGTAAAATGCCTCAGCAGGGTGGCCCTCCACTGAAGATAATACACTGTGGGTTCACACTGATTCACTCATTTAGAACAATAGGGTGTTTGGTGTCCTTCATTTGATCTCTTTCACCCCCTCCCTTCTCTCCAATTCAACTTTGCATCTCCACACCACCCTTGTCACCTGTTTGAACCACTCCTTTTTCTCACTCTCGCTCTCCACCCTCTTTCTGTCCTTTCTCTTCCTCCCTCTAGTGGAGAATGTCCAGCTGAGTTTGGTCCTGCAGACGGAGAACAAAGGCTTGGTTGTAGCGGGAGGCGAGCTCAACGTCTGTCTGGACGGCATGGTTGTTGATCTGGGCTCGCTGCCCAATGGCAGCATGGCAGCGGACAGTGAGTCCCGCCTTTACGACACACATACACTCTCAGAGAAGTTTTAGGGAGTAATACAGATACACAGAGAAGCACTCACACCACTGACATGGTCATACACTGATCAGCCATAACATTATGACCACCTGCCTAACACTGTTTACATAGGAGTCCATGTGGCAGTCGGTTGGCACTCGTGCCACTTTGCAGCTTTTGTGAATCCATTTGCTTCCACAGTTCTGAGGAAGAGCACAGATGTGTCTACAATTCAGTGAAACACTTATGTAAAAGGAGTGAAAACTGTGGTTGTGAGGTCGAGTTAGAATTATTTAGACAAATCCAACAGCCTCACCGCTCTAGGTGTGATATCACCACTACAGCCCCTGACTCTTTCTCTCCATAGAGACCAATGTACAGTATTTCTCATTTTCAACCATTTTATCAAAGATTCAAATAAATTTTAATCTTTTGAAAAGTACAAATGGAAGTTAAAAGTTTAATCTACAGTAGATCAACCTCATCATCAGTGAGCCGTGGGCATCCATGACCCTGTCTCCAGTTGACCATGTGTCCTTCCTTAGACACTGTTGGTAGGTACTAACCACTGCAGACCAACAACCCCCACCAAGACCTGCAGACTGGGAGATGCTCTGACCCAGTCATCTCACCATCACGGTGTGGCCCTTGTCAGGGTCACTCACATCCTTACACTGGCCAATTTTTCCTTCTTCAAACATGTCAACTTTGAGGACTGAATGTTCACTTGCTGCCTAATAAACCCCCCACACTGACAGGTGCCACTGTAACAGTCAGTGTTATTCACTTCACTTGTCAGTGATCATAATGTTATGGCTGATCAGTGTATACTGTATATCACTGCTGTGGTGTGAAAAAAAACTGAGGTTCCTGGAGCCTCAGAGGAAAGAGCAAGAAACCAAGAATGAACTGGCTTAAAAGATAGAAATCTGGTGAGTTTCAAATAGTGAAACTGGCAAGAGAATGTAGCACAGAAAAGAATATTAAAAACTGTACAAATTGTACCCAAGTCACTTGCTTTTGTAAGTGATGAGGTTTCTTATTCTAACCTGAGATCAACATGTAAAATTGCCATCTAATTAACGTAAGGGGGTGCATATGGGAAAGGGGCTTAACACACTTTTAACAAAGACATCACCACTGCCAACATTTAAAAACCAACAAGTCTGTCTGTTATAATCTGTTTGCATCTATATTTTCTGATATTTTGGTATCGGCACGTATTTTATGTACTAAATACCCAAGGTATTAACTTTCAGAAATTATAATGTAATAATTTTTATTTATATAGCACTTTTCAAAATCTACATTACAAAGTGCTTTAAAAGTCAGAAATAAAAATCTATTTAAAAGAACAAAATCAGGAAAGTCTCTATGATAAAAGTATGTTTTATGAAGTTAATGGTGTTTTACAACAGTTACTGAATTAATAGACCTGATTCCTCAGGCAAGGCGTTCCAGAGCATCGGGGCCTTTACTGCAAACGCCCTGTCCCCTTTAGTTGTCATCCGGTGCCCTCGGAGCAGACAAAAGGCCTCTGTCCGAGGATGTACACACATGCACATATGGTACTCAAACGTCAGAGATGTAGCTAGAAGAGAGGCCATGCAGGGCCTTAAAAGTAATGAATACAAATTTAAAACTGATTCTAAAACATACTGGGAGGCGGTGCAGAAATGCTAAAACAGGAGTGACCACATCTCCTAGTTCTGGATACACAATCCAGGTACAACGAGATGACAGCATGTAAAATAGTCTCTGTGTCTTTAAAAGTTCAAATGGATCATATTTTTGTGATATTTCTGAGCTGATAAAAACACAGTTGCTTAAGCTTTGTGGTGTGCTGCTCAAAACTTAAATTACTGTCCTCCAGACGCCAAGATTCCTTGTAACAAAAATGTGTATGACTGACAAATGTCTGTCTGCTGTGACACCCCCATGCCTTAGCGCTCTTCTCATCAGCAGCGTTCCACAGAGCAGACAGAAATCAAGTCTGATTGCACTTTTGGTATTTTAACCCCGGGAGGGTCAGCAGAACGTTGTGATTTTTTTGAACATCCTACTTTCACTTGAGGCTTTCTCAGTGGGACTGCGATATTTGTCTGGACTGTCCTGTTATTGTCATGGGTTTTTTTTTCTTTGTGAACTGCTTTTACTTGGTGTACGTGGAAAGTAGGAAACTAGAAAATTGTCTGTAGTTATTTAGCCTGTAGCTATAGTTTCAGCCTTCACCAACTTGCATTCATTGAACTTTCAAGCAGATTTGGTGTACTGGACCTTCTGTCACAAAGCACCAAAACAATGCATGTTATACCACCAGGGGGTCAGTGTGAGGGCCGTAAGCATAAATTTTATTGCCAAGTATTACAAGCAATTTGACTCCAGCTCAACACACATTAGAAAACACTTAACATCGGTCTCTTTGTGACCGTTGAGATGTTGAGTACCGGAGATGTGTGGTTCTCCATGGCTGAAGCAGAGTGCAGCATGGCCTGTTTGGGACTTAGAAAAATTAATGACCTGTGGTCCTGGTACTCAATACTGGGACTTGGAAAAATTTCTGTTCCCACACAGTGTAATACCAGAGGCATGGAACTTCATTTGGAGTACCAGGGGCACGAAGTTTTGGCCGGGCGGTTTCAAATTGTTTAGCCCAGGGAGGGGTTGTGTGTGTGTGTGTGTGTCTGTGTTTGGTCCTGCGGTTGTACCACATTTTCACAAGGGCAGCAAGATGAAAACATTTCTGTTAATGTCCTCCATGAAGAAGGCTAGCTTAGGGTTTAGATTTTACCTTGGTTAAACCTATAAGGGGTTTCATCTCTCAGATCCATCTGGTCCATCCTGCAGTAAGAGATTAAACTGCTTGGCACAAAATGCCCTATATTCCTTCAAAATTAAATTAAGGTTCAGGGTGTAAAGAAATGAATATTGTAAATAGGAGGTCCTAGGAGATACTTGTCATTTTGACATGTGGGTAGGTCAACATACAATGTCTTTATTTTTCTTTATATGGCCTTTTCTTAACATTTTGTAATACTTTGTGCACACCCACCTTGGGGTGGTTTCTCTCCAGGCTTGCAGGGGCAGGGATGACGAACGTTGTGCGTGCGCATATATATATATGTGTGTTTTTGGGGGGGGGGGGGTTAGTGAACAGAGGACTGAAGTGTGCCATCTAGAACGAGGGTTTTATAGTCTCATGAGTATACAGTTGATGCATGCATGCCTTTGCACTTGTGTGTGTTTCTGGTTGTGCATGTATATGTATTTTAAATTCTGCACTGTGTGTGTGCAAGCATATGTGGGCTGCTTGAATATATAAAGCTTATAAAGGTAGGAGTGTGTTACCTTCTGGTGGTGTTAAGGCGCTCTGTGTTCTCGCTCTGAATGCTCTTCTGTTAATTTGGAAGTTTTACTCATTTCCCCTGGCAGCTTTTCTGACACACGCACGCACGTACTCGTACATCAGGCTTCATGAACAAACTCTTGTACTAAAAGATGTGGAGAAACAGAAGCCAGAGTAGAAAGATTTCCACTCTGAGAATATTGTGACACTTTTTGTAAATGTTAGATGTTAACATAAGACTCTGTGTATGCATGACTTCCTGCCGAAGCCACATGTACACAGTAGCACAGACACACTCGCACGGTTTTCCCTCCCAAAATACAAAAACAAAACAAGAACACTTAGGTGCAGCACCTGAATGTTTTTATGGAGCGCCAGAACTGAATGAATGTAGTAAGGCTTCATATCAGAATGAATGTAAAAACAGCAGTGCTGAAAAATAATGCAAAGGTGGTTTGATCCCAGAACGAAATATATAAGCTGGCAACAAGACGAACCTGTCAATCAACAATCGGTGTTTGTTGATCGGCAGCATCGCCGAGCTAATCAAACAGTTGACTGGATATTTCTCTGGATCATCAACTCAGGACAACAGGTACAGCTGTTGATAAAGTTGGCTTCCACAAAGAGTACATGACATAGGCTATAACTTTGCTGTTAGTAGTTCTTGTGTATGGTAACAACAGAGATGCCAGAATGCAGTTTATAAGTAAACAAACACCTCAATGTTATGATAATAATTTCTCTTCCTACGAAGTTGCTCAAATGTTTGGCAACACTTTTTTGATGTTGATGGAAGACGCATTGCTAGGGCCACTTCTGTTTCACTGCTGTTTCCTCCTCAGATGCCGTGCCATTTTACTTTGTGTTTTTTTTTGCAGATTACACAGTAATGACTCTTGTCCCAGTTTATTTTTTGACCCTTGTGGCAGGTTTTCACTGTAACCACTGTCCTACCCTCATCTTCATTGTCAACATTCTATTATGAAATGTATTTTCTACTCACTTTCTATGCCCAAATCAATCTCATCAAGAGATTTGCCTTTGTAGACCAGTTCCACGTTCGATTGCCATGAGTAGCTTGCTGAAAGCTAACGTAGCTAACATGTACTGAATTAAGTTATCTTAGTCAAGGAAGCAAAACAAAGTCTGGAAACCTAGGGAAACGCCTGACTCAGACTGTCTGCACAGACACACCAGTGACTAACATCCTGGACACTCATCTTGGACATGTCATGCTAGACTCAGTACATGTATGTGCCAATAAATTGTTGACTGTATGAGACAGAAGTACTGTAATTTTTTGTTCAGTCTCAACAAGCAGCATCCTGGCTGAAGACTAGGGGCAAAAATCAACTTATCACAATCAAAACCATGTATTGCAATACTGTAAATATCCAAAAATACAATTTGAGAAGTGAAATGTCTTAATTTTGCCTAAAACAGCCAATTCCAATATTCCATTGCAGTAATAACAATTCATATAATCAGGGGTGGCTGTGGCTCAGGGGAAGAGTGGGTCAATGTCTGATCGCAGAGCTGATGGTTCGGTTCCTGGTCTCCCTAGTCCACGTGATGAAAGTGTCTTTGGGCAGAACACTGAACCCTGAGTCCCAGTGACCAGGCCAGCTCCTTGCAT